ATAGATAACATCGGGTGGTTAGTGAGTAGAAATTTAGCACTCAAAATGATGGCTGTTGTGTTTGAGTCTCAGTCAGAACACCTGCACTCACTGGGAGGCAGGTGAGTAAAGTCCACGAGTCTCAGAAGAAAAAATATCTGCCTCCTGCTACCATCAGAATTAATCTGCTACTATTACGGTAAACGAAGCTACTTGTTCACATCTTAGATATGAAAGAAAATATTAAAACACAGTAAAGTGAATGAGTATGGTGGGGTGATTTGTTCTTTTTTTCCATACTAATCTTGAAGCGTTTTGTTACTTCCTCTATAATATGAAGCAATATATTTTATTTAGCTTGCTAAACATTCAATTTCCTTTTCAGTTTGTTCTTGTGATGTTATCCAGTAGTAATGTAAGTAGAGAACTGTGGCACTGTGGTAGAATGTAATTCCACATTGGATAAGTTTATTTTAAATATCACACAGTGATGCAATATTAAAAACTGGATGAGAACGTTTCAAGCACAATTTATTGTTCATAATCATATCAATTTAGTCACATGGTTTTACAATGTCTTAATGAATATATATATATATATATATATATTAACTCTTACCCTCTCCTCTTTGTTATTTGTTACCGCTTCCCATATATCCAGTATAGGCGTTACGTTGCGTCATTCGATTCCATCTGTGTGGTGTTGAATCGATAAACAAAGCTTCAGCGATTAACTGACCTCTCTCTGCACCTAACTACATTACTTCCTAATACTTTCACACTGTCACATCTACCTTACTATGTGATCACATGCAAGTGAATGAGATGCAATGACTGAGCTGTGTTTTTAATAGGTTATCCAACTTAGTAGGGTCAGTCATTCTAGGTCTAGCTAAATTTTGTATGTTCCAATAATCTAGTTGACCTCGATCTATTAGTTTCACCTATGTAATTGACCTTACTCATGGTCACTACATTGTATTTGGTAAATTATATCAAATATTTTCTTAATTGGATCTCTTAGTTCCTTAAGCCGACAAAATTTATCTCTGAGAGAGTTGGTTGGTTGGCTGGTTTAAATGTCACCGTAATTCCAGCCTCATTGAGAATCTTACATAAGGCCTCTGATGTTCCTTCTTTATTCAACAGTTTAAATAAGCTTGAAATATTTTTCTTAAACGAACATCTACAAAATAGTGTTTAATGATGAATAATTTTGGTGAATTTGTTTGTTTTTGCTAAAGCAAAGTTTATCTAATGAAAACATTAATTTTATGTCTAATCATCTGTCACTTTTGCTGGACTGATGTTGTTTGAAGAAAACTAGACTGATTTCCTTAATTACTGATAATTGTTGTGCAGTCTGTAAAGGCAGTATCTGTGTCAGTGTCTAGGCCTTATAGGGTAGTCAACTGAGTTACACGGCCGTAGTTTTATGGTTGCTGGTTCAAGCCCCACCATGTCATAAATATTCGTTTCAATTTGGATCAGGTGTAAGGTTGACAACTTTTATTAATTTCTCTTTAAAGTAGAAAATTTATTGATATCTATGTTTTGGAATGCCCAGTTAGAATTTTTAATGTAACCTAAAGAACTATTTATGTTGAGGCTTTCTTGTAAACCCTAGACAGATTGCTTAAGTCTATAAAACATTCAAGCTAGTGCAATAACATACTCGACGGTAGTTGCAAATACTTACTAGCACAACGTTATTCAAAAAGAAAGTAAAAGTTTACTGGACGCATGCACTAACATGTCAACTGTTTCGTGGTCGTATTAATATATAGAAGCTTATACGCTAGAGTAGATCATTAAGTTTAAACCAATACAACCTATTTATACGTTATTATGAATACAAACACGTTCCAATAAAGGTGTAGTTGTATTCCCTGAGTTGGATGATTTATTTATGAAGCTTTCAATATCTGAGTAGACAACATCTGCACGAAGTTAATATTAAGTGATAGGGACAATATAATTCCCCACTATTTCATCAGCCTTTTTTCATGGTCACATTGAATGTAACAGGTTTTTTTCTGAAGATTTTCTCATCTTCTTGTACACTTGTATCGGTGTTGATTAGTTTGTTGACTTAAGAGTTGACCTTTTGTTCATATGACTACGCATTTATTTTTTAATAAATCTGATCTATGTCAGTGTGTCTGTTTATTGCAGATTCGTCTGAGTATCAGGTTTCTAGGAATTTCCTGGCACTTTTGTTGTTTTCCTTATCTAAGATTCGTACATTTTCCCGGTTAATTTGGTGTCTACAGTAGTCTGTATCCACTGAAATCATTAATATCATGTATTTCGGCAACCATTTGAGTTAATGGATTCGTCGATGAAGAGGACATCCACTCTAAACAGTTTCATTTTCACAGTTATTACAATTCATATTTGTAGGATAATACGAGCTCATTTTATTTCGTGGATTCTCTTCAACCGCGTACATCCTAAAGAAATCAATTATATGTTACAGAATTTCTCAACATACTTTTTACAATGACTTCAAGCTATAGATAGAAAGTATAAGCAACATAATTTCAAAGATAATGTAAGTAGACAGTTATTTAGTGGTAAAAAAGTAACTATTGATGTCTTAATCAGACAAGGGGATGGAGTTCAGATTTTGCTTGGAAACAAGGATGGAATAAAGACAAAATACAAGACAGAAGAACATAGTTAATTTTTACATATTATGTTGGACAGTTCAAGAGATGGGGGCGAATAGTGAAGTAAAATCATAAAACAGGAAAATAATTTAATTTAGTGTATTTGGAAACTTAATAGTGAGTTCAACTCAGTGAGTGAAAACCAAAATTAAGTGGAATCTTATGCAATAGAACAAAACACAAAAGCACATCAAGAAAACAGCAATGATTATCAGGGTAGTAAGAGAATAGTCCCACTATCTTTCTGTGTGCACAGGATAGGTCGAAGTCTTTTGATCTCAATGGCTTCTGCAAACCGAAGTAACCGCCGCCCTCCTTAACTGTCCAACATAATATGTTAAAAATTAACTATGTTCTTCTGTCTTGTATTTTGTCTTTATTCCATCCTTGTTTTCAAGCGAAATCTGAACTCCATTCCCTTGTCTGATTAAGACATCAATAGTTACTTTTTTACCACTAAATAACTGTCTACTTACATTATCTTTGAAATTATGTTGCTTATACTTTCTATCTATAGCTTGAAGTCATTGTAAAAAGTATGTTGAGAAATTCTGTAACATATAATTGATTTCTTTAGGATGTACGCGGTTGAAGAGAATCCATGAAAGGAGAGCTCATTTTTTCAGGAAAATACGTTCGTCCTTTGTGTATTCAAACTAATAAATGGAACCGGCTGTATGAAATATTACAATTCATCTTGTAGATGATATTGGTTTTGTCATACAGAATTCTACAAGATTACTTCATATTGAAGTCAAGACTGAAGGTGTCTTCTAGGAAGGCAATGAAAGCCTTGCAATTAAATCACTCAACTCAGAGAACACAAGTGCAGAAATGTCACCCACCTTAGCCAGAAATCTTCTCTATCAAGTCTTAGTACTTTTGGCTTATTTAGACTATTGAATTTCCTATATATATATATATATATATATATATATATATATATATATATATATATATATATGGTTTCCAGTTAATTTCCTGCTATATGTAATAATGAAAGATATCCATGATTGATACGTTGGAGATTTATACAGATAGGTCAGATTGACTTACATCTCTATCGATTTTTTTACAAGGTGCATCAGTTTAAGTTGCCAAACTTTGAGGTATGTTGCATAAAGTACAGGAAAATGTCATGAAGTCAATCTGAACGAAGAATATTCTTTTCAATAATTTCTCTTTAGGTTCTTACAATTATAAAATATAATTGTTGTCATTACAATAAAGGCCAGTTATGTGGTGGATACATTTTTAACAGAGAATAACAGATTAGTTATGGGGTGTCAAAATAAATATTCGTGCTTGCGGGACAAACGTGCTAGGCTGAATTCGATTACAAAATATTGTAAAGCGGGAGACAATGGTGGTGATTAATCATATTAGATTTGTAGAGTGTGGGGTAGAAAAACTGACAAGTCAGTTCAAGGTTATAAAAGGTGTCAGGTGAGTGGCTAGTACAAAGTGTTCTGTGTTAAACAGGAGATAGTAAGACTGCAATGAGAGGTTCACAATGATATAACGAATATGTAAAATGAAACAGGTGGAGGTATATATTGAGAAAAGAGATAATATCACTAATAATAAATCCGGATAGTATAAACGAAAAAATTATATTTTATAATTGTAGGAACCTGAAGAGAAATTATTGAAAAGAATATTCTTCGTTCAGATTGACTTTTAATTCGTGATATGGGAATTTTCCACACTATAAAATGTCATGAAACTACAGCGGATAAAGATGTAAGGAGAGGTAACTTGTTGAAGATGAATATTTCTGGAATGTGTAAGACAACATGGAGGGAATACTTCTCCACCAGTTTTTTGTGCCATATCGCCATTAATCTCAAATCGCTGATTCTTAACATCATTTCTATCCTAATCAAGTAGTTCACATTTTCTTACACTGGAAAGACGGTAACTGACTTTTCAGCAAAATTACACAAACGGAACCTTAATTAAAAGTCTCGGTCAAATTAAAGTGAAACTTATAATTTGATTTTTACATAAATGTTAGCAAAATTGCAGTATGCAGTATTCTTCTGTAACTACTCCAATTCTGGGGTTCTCTGTTTTTTTTTAATTATTACTACCATACTATTCATCCCCTTGATTCCATGTCGTAATACTCCTATTGGGATTATGTGTCTAACAAGTAGTTCAAACACAATAATCTTAGTACATTATCTGCTTTATGAAATTGTTCACAATATAGTGGGCGAAACTATAATTTCCAATGAGACCATAGCATTGACATTATTTTATTTTTACTGTTTTATCTATCATTTGTGTAACTAGTACACTCATTTACTGTTACTGTTATCTTTTTATATTTTCCTACTCAATTAGGGTCATGCATTAGGCGAGGAGTTGTTCGCAACAGTTGTCGATCGATTTCGATTACTTGAAGCTAATTACTTTGACCTAGAATATACTAACGATGAAGGAATGAGAGTAAGTCGACATTCGTTTTGTTCCATTTATTCATTATCATTTATACTGGCGATTTAATTCGTTCTTTCCTTTTTTTTTCACTTATTGTTGCTTATTCATCTGTTCATACATAATGTCTGCATACAAATTATATGTGTACAATTACTTGTGAGAATTAGACTTTAAATCACACGGAATACAACTTGACCGTATTATAAAACATCTCTTCTTTTTTATGCTTGCCTTAATCTAGGTAATTTAAGTAAAATATGAACTACTGTTTGATTTTGTTAGTGAAAGGAAACAAGTTCATTGTTTCCACAGTTCTGTTAGTGGTGGAAATAAGATAGGCTTGCAAAGCAATCCATCCAATTGTTAACCCTTCTCATTAGTGTGTTTATGACTGTTTCATCAGCCTGTTCCGAGTCTGTAATCCTCTCAAATATACATATCTGCATAATATTATCTCCAACATATTTCTACCCTTGTGTAAATACTAACTTCAGCGTATAATACCTTCTAAGCGAAATAGTTAACCGATGAAATTTGTGTAACTGTCTTAGTATTATGCATTATGAATTGCCTTGTGTGTGTGTGTGGCATGAAGCACCCGTTAGAAGGTGATCAATAAATAGATCAATATACTGCCACTTATAATCCAGATATGAACTAAAATATTCTCGTGAACTATGTATATTTGATCTAGTTTTTGAGGAAGTGAATATGAGAATTTTATAGAAAAAAAAATAGTACTTTATCACTATTACTATTATTGTTATTTTTGAAAAATTCATTCTCATTAATCATGAGGATATTTCCACAGGCTAAGAGTAGTATCTTGTTCACACACATTAAAACATACACATATCCTTATAGCATTTTGGCAAACCTTTCTTTGTTAGTAGACTAATTAAATTTTGGAGTTAAATTGTTAGTGGAAAATTAAAAACAAAACATTTTTTCATCAATTCCCATTAGTAGTCATTCTCAATGGACAATACTCTTGTTATATATACATATATATATATATATATATATATATATGTCAATATACATATTGGGGTTTTGATAAAGAGTGATATAATGCACTGGAAGATGATATAGGTATACTGGTGAGTAACTGTTATGAAACATTAAAGTCAAGTCTATACGGAATTCCTACATATTATATAAGTCACATAAGTCAAGATATCTTTTAATATGCATGCACACATAGAGAGTGTACTTTTTTATCCAAGCGAAAATATTCATCTGTACTTTCATCATTTCTTTGAGTTCCAAGTGAAACATAGGGTTTCAGGCCACAAGCTTTGAATTATCAGTAGTGATGGTGTCTTTTTTACGAGATAGGATTGCTAGCCTCATGCCCAACCTTCCCTTTCAGTCGGACTTACTACTGGTTAAGCTAGGTTTAAGAGTGCTTTGGCCGGGAATGGAACCCGGATGACACAGGTGGTTGGCAAGCATTCTATTACTGAACCGCCAACTCCTTATTCACCTAAAGTATTAGAGTTTTAAGGCAATTTCATAATATTGGTGGGATATAAATGATATATTATTTCTTACATACGGTAATGTCGAATGTGGTTTTAATTTCACGATAACTGATTGAGATCAAGTTGCTTTCAGAATTGATTCTCATTCGTTCTTTAGATGACATTCTTTAGTGAAGCATCTACCTTGATATCAGTAAAGGTATCTGAAGTCCAGTAGAAGAACAAATGCGCTATACTTTTCTACTTTTTTCTTTTACCAGGTTGTATTTCATGTGACTAGTATGTAATTATTTTGCTTCCCGTTTTGATGGTAATCATCGCTGTATCACATGACTCTCCTCTATGACTTTCACTTTTTTCCAACAACCACTTACTAAGGTTGTATGCACAGTTTCTTTCATTGCAATTTGAATTTGCGTTCACTTAAACAATAAGTCTGATAATCCTACAGGCAACTATTGTTGGTGTGATGGTCATTACTTCAAGACCAACAGTCATCTTCAACATATTTGGTTCTCAGTAAAAATATAAAGTTTATTACCCAGGAAATATTGTTCTGAATGATCTTATTTTGTAGAACAATCGGAATTTAACAACCTTGAACTGTCCTTGAAAGCATCACCAAACTAGCATCTAGAAAATCTTAAACTATATAAGCATACTGCTGTTTAACGCCGTTGAAAACATTTTACATAGTACTTCACTTCAAAATACACATGACCTAGTTTCTGTTTTTGTGACCTTTAACAGCGCTGTCATTCTGTTGACAAGCATTCAAAATTATGCAGTGAATAATGGAAACACAGCACAGTTTTATGCTAGAAACCACAAAGAGATAACCATTATTATTGGGATTACCATGTCTTCCTGATACAGAAGTTTTGTATCCAATTCTTATGTTAACCCTTGTCTTAACATTGACCCTAGTCTTAACTTTAATTCTGATACTATTATGTAGCCTATTAGCTTCTGAAATCGATCATTCATTTGTCTCTAATTCATATGTTCTTTTCAAAGCTACAGAATTGTAAGCAATAATTATGTTGCAGTAACACATAAAATATATATTTTAGCTTGTCAAGTCCAAAATGTAATATGTGAAAATCTCGAGGCTGATCTGATTCCTTGTTTTATCACTGCACTAAATAACACAATATTTATCATGGTTACTCAACTTATAGGACATACATACCATTACTGTTCTATTTATATGTGTACGGTGTCTTTGACGTACTTTTCTAAAACACTTAAGCCATTCAAGGAAGCAGATATTTGTTTGAACGATCAAAGTAACAGATCAACTGTTTCCGACTGCTTAACAGTAAGGAATGACTAATATTAGCCATGCTATAAGTGATTTAATATACCAATAAGAGTGACTTCACACTAACAATAATTAATCACACTGCTTATCATGTTATATATTCTTTGAAACATAATTGTTTCTTTAGAAAACCAGTGTCAGTTTATACTGACCAGAAATACATATACTTTTCTTATGTAGTCTTATAAAAATAACCCTTAAGGCAACTCCTAGTATGCATCACATGAACAGGTTTGTTTGATAAATTCCTACAAGTGAATAATTGTGTGCAGTTCAATGAATGAATATAACCTATTTCAACCTTTTAAATTTATATGTATAAGGAATTCTATGCATAATCTATTTTCCCGATATTTATGTGTTTGTATAATTTTAATTACAATTTTTCTGTTTGCCTAAATTAGCTTATTTATGTAATGTACCACTAACGAAAATCACGGCAGACATCATTTTCACTACAGTACAACTATAGTTAATGCAGTTTTCATATTCAATTTAACTCAGTAATATTTAAATAAAAAAACAACCAATAATGATGGCATTTTAATAAAAAAGAAAGACTCAATGTAGATAATGAATGGAAAACGTCTCTTTTTATCTTAAACTACAAAAATGCAACTTAGAATTGAAATAAACACAGAATAATTGTGTTTTCTTTGTTTATGTTGTAGAGCCTGCTATAAAAGAAATTTATGTTTTAGACACTTTGGCAGTCTTTCGTAACTGGTTTCACAACTCTTTTTAAGCTTTCATTTTCTCCTCCCATGATCTCCTCCTCGTCACACAATATTTCGTTCCCTATTCGGTTTCCACTAAGTGGCCTGGCCCGTAATGTCATTCAGCAGTATCCTCAGTGTATGTTCGATACATCTCCACTTTCTTCTGATTATTTATTAGGTAATCGGTTCTTGCTTAGTTCGTTCGCAGAGTTCTGGTTATATGATATTCACTATGGGGCGAAAGCAAGTGTTGATAAAAGTCTACAACCTCTTGGAAATACTTTTCGGGACACACATGCCAAGTCTCTGAATCATAGAGAGCAACTAACTTGACATTACTATTGAAAATTCATATATTTTTTCCTTGTGCTGATTGCGGAAGAATTCCACACTGATTTCAGATTAATGAAGGCCTTTCTGACATCTTCATCTGTTCCACCTGTAGGTGAAAGGACACTGACTAGATAAGTGAAAAAGGTGACTTCATTTAGGTCTCTATCACTGATGGTGATTGATGTTCTCAGTTGATAGTTAGGTATCTTCACCTCTGTCTTCTCTGTGTTCACCTTTAATCGTGTCTTCACTGCTTCTTCTACTAACTTGTTGGTCTTCCCATGTAAATGTTCGAGTTTGTGAGATGTGAGACACACATTATCCGTGAAGTCTTTTCATCAGTCCAACGTATATCCATCTTCTTGTTCCCCACAGTCTTTTGAATGATCCAGTCCACCACAATCAGGAATATCAATGGTGACAGTGGGCAACCTTGGCTTTCTTCTGTTTTCACTTCAAATGCTTCGCTGAGTTTTCTTTTGTAAACTACTTGGTATGTGGTATCATCATATAACTGTTGAACAAGGTTCATGAATCTTTGTTACGTTTATTAGTGTTGAAACAGTTAGCGAATCACTTTACAGTTGATCCACTAGTTATTTCGATTCTTCGCTGAAGCATTTTCACTCTTAGTTCCACCTTTTAGCCATCAGCAGATGCTCTAAAAAATATGCTTCATTTGTTTGAAAAACTTTAATCTCAAAGTTTAATTTATTGAGATAAATTAGAATTTGCTATCGTTTTCGTTTCTTTAGAGTTGATTATTCATATGCGTTATTGTGTATACCCACCTAATAATGACAGGTAAGAAGGTATTTAAGTTTGCAGTGCTTAACACAGAATAATCTCGAAAAATTATTGTGACTATCATTTGTAGTAACATTTAATTGCAAATGGTCATTTAGCTTAATGGTTCTCACAATAAGTGTCAGTTAGTATTGATGTCGAAAGTGTACAGCACTGTTATTCTCACATTCACATTTATAAATACTATAAGTGGCCTAAAGACTCCTACTAGATATTCCTAAACATGAAGTATTTTAGCTGATAGTTTGTTTTTCTCACTTCCTCTTCACACTAACTGAGTTATATCCAATAAGAAGTGGAAGTGAGTGAAAGAAATTAAATTACAACAGGCATGGCATTATG